TTCTGTCATCATGTTAGCTCCGGCCACGGATTTCAGGCTAACGGTTTCAGAGAGGTATCTGTTGCTCCATATAGCCAGCCAATGTTTTTTTACAATATATGGATTGATCACATGCAGATAATAAGACTGTCTTTTTTAGCATTAATTATTAATGTACGGTGCAACTTTTGTTCAAATATCAATACAATGATATATGTTTTAGTATACTGAACAAATTGCTTTTATTTGTATTATACAACACTTTGTAAAACTGTATTTAAAATATGTTTAGTAACTAGAGCATGTTTGTACAAGAGATAAAATCGCAAATGCAACGGACGTTCGCAAACACCGAACAATGTAAATGCAGTATTAATGCATGCAACATATTTCTATCGAGTAAAAAAGTCGATTCACCGCTACTCTCGATAAAAGATCAATCGATTCTAGCGCGTTACAATTAAAATCGATTTTCTTTATTGTTCTCGTTTATGGTTTTGTATCACGATCGTCAGATGATTGTAGATTTGCTATTGAAAATGTTAGATATTTATTTTTACTTGGAAGGATATGATCTTAATTGGATTATTTTCATTCCTTGAATCTGCTGACTATAAGAAAACATTTCAGATATTTTACTAACATTACAAATGCGAAAGTTTAGCTAGATGGATGTTTGTTAGAGTTTGTAGCCTATGTTCTGAACGGATGTCGAAGAAATATTTTATTGACAAGTCGATTTTGGTTTCCTATTCCAAAAAACATAGCGAGATTTAATTTGTAACAAATTGTAAATCGATTTAGAGCGTGAAATATTTCGATATCCGGGACGATATGGATCAAGTTCAGATCAAGTAATATTACTGGTACAAACAGATACATTTAGCTAGCTTTTACCAGTATATTTCGGCATATCTGTTAAATGTATATCCTTACATCTGTTTCGACAGTAACTTAAGTCATTTTTAGGTGATAAATCATTGAATCTCATCCGTCATTTTTTCTCTACGAGATAGATTGCGATCACAATAGATTCTTTAATATTACGTCGAAAACCCAGAGTAAGACAAACAACTCTACAGTTACAGAATTGTCTGGTATTCGGTTTCCCAGCGCGCTGCAAAACTGTAGAAAAACTTGCTACAGTTGTAACTGAATACATTAGAAAGTAAAACATAGTTGACAGTTTCTCGCAAACGGAAAGCGAAATACTGTAGATCCGGTATATTATTACTGTTTGTTTAATACATGGGAGTTTATTGCGTGAATGCATTTTGTAAGAACATTAACAGCATAAAGCTTTGCTTGTTGTTGCTTTGTTATTTTCGTTGTAGCCTATTTCGTATTATCATTCAATAACATACATAAATAAGCAGGGATGGGTAATGGTGGGGTAGTATCCTTTCTTAAATTTTCTCCAAAAGTCGCCCGCCCCCTTAGGCTATTCTAGCCCATCCTCTGGCGATGCCAATCTAAATAAGATTAGTCATTTAAAAATAAATTAAATAACTCCTAAATAAGGTAAATGAAACAGTTATTGACTACTAGCTTTCGCCCGCGACTTCGTTTGCGTGGAATTGAAGAACACAAAAGTGAGTAGCCTATGTGTTTTTCCAGACTATCCTCTACGTCTATGCCAAATTTCATAGAGATCCGTTAAACTATTTAGGCTACAAACAAACATCCATCCATCTCAACTTTCGCATTTATAATATTAGAAAGAAGTCAGATTAACGCACGATGGTGAAGTAGACGTAATAATTAATTTTCTACAAACGAAAGATAAAATAACAAAACCAGTTGAGTATTTTGCAACTATATGAATTCCACGATGTGGTATTTAACGTAAAGCGGTGAAGATGTTACAACGGTTCAACAAACTATTAGCACATTATGTACAGTTATAGACGAAAGTTTCGCTTATGTGAATTTAAATCTTGTTTACACTACAGTGATTCTTCTATCTTAATTAGGTCTGTTATTTTTTAAAAAAGCACGGATTTAAGATGACGACAGTATTCAATTAGTACATTTCAAATATTA